ATAAAGAGGTAGAGAGGAGAATCTAGGAAGTGTGGAAGGAGAGAAAAGAATCTGACCAAAATATACAAGGAAAAAATAAAACAAAAATAAAATTCTGAATTTTTCCAATGAACATGTGACAAACTATGAAGCGTCCACAGAAATTAACTAAGGCAAAGACTTCTCTTGGTCCATAGATTCGGTATATGAAACATTTTCTTTCTGTCACCAGTGAAGTCCAATAGCATTAAAGATACTGTTATGGCCAGTGGAGGGGGAGCAAGCCTTTAACCCCAGCACTCGGGAGGCAGAGGCAGGCTGATCCCTGTGAGTTTGAGGCTAGCCTGCTCTACAGGACAAGTTCCAGGACAGCCAGGGCTACACTGAGAAACCCTGTATGGAAAAAAAAAACAAAAACAAAAATATAAAGATACTGCTACTAAAACCTGATATGACTCACTAACACATAAATGGGCTCATTTTTCACTTACTAATCTCCTGATTCATGAATTCACATTTCCTCTGTGTTGCCCTCTCCTTCACACACACAGAAGAGTAGAAGGCACACAGAGTCACAGATGACCTACACAGACCACACTGCAGCCATTCGGATACACTTTTAAAATCAAATTATTAATTCTCACTTTAAACAACACCTGAATTATAAAAACCAGCATTTATAATAAGTTCATTAATAGACTTATATGCAAAAAATTATACAACCAAAGTAAATTTTGAATTATTCTGAACTCATTAGGTTGGTCAAAAACAAAGACCTGGACCTTTTTAAAGGCACTCGACTGTTCTGTAGTTAATGCATTGTTTAGGCTGCTGTGCCACGTGGCGTACCTAGGCATGGAACATCACCACACATGAAAATCCACCAGTATTCAGTTCTATGCTGAGGACCCGTTTTCCCAGCTCATTAGACAGTCCACTTTCCCGGCTGTCCTAGTTTCACTCTGTTGCTATAACGACGATAAAAGGAACTCAGGAGAAGATATTTGCCTTACCAGTTGCAGTCTGTCAACAAGGGAAGCCAGGACAGGGACTCCTGGCAGGAACCTGGTGGCAGGTACTGAAGCAGAGACCATGGAGGACTCTTATTACTGACTCTTTCCCCTGGTTTGCTCAGTTACCTCCCTATTACACAACAGGCACACATATCAATGCCCCACAAACACCCCAATGGGACAATCTGATGGAGGCAATTTCTTCATGGGGTTCCTAGTTCCAGGTGGGTCAAGTCAACAAGCCCAAATATGTTACCTTCATTCCTGAAGAAGAATTCAACATAAGAGCTTTGAAATTATGTTTCACATACTCTACTAAATCAGAACATTAGCATTTAAGCAATATCTAAATGTTATGAAATGATGACCTGCATACTGAGAACACGGTGCTTTAATGTACAGAAAGGACTTGGCTTACATGGAGACATCCCAATCGCCTTCCCAAAGAACATTTAATTGAGTTATTTACTGGTGATTCCACATCCTCCTACATAAATCATTTATTACAACCAACAGTATGTGTTCCAAAGGAGACTACTTAATGTGGAATAAAATCAGCAAATGTGTTGGCCTACAGGAATAAATACTCAAGGCACTATTTCTAAATCTACTGGCAAGACCGGTTTGGGCAGAACTGTCCTCTGTGGTAGCATGTATTCTAGTACATCTGCATGACCCTCTCTTCTCATCAGAAGTCTTAGTGTGTTACCCAGTGACTGATAGTCAAGTCCAGAGCATGAGCTAGCTGAGTTGTATTCGTTTTGTTGAAGTAAGAGAATGGATCACTTATCAGGGAAGCCTTTCCCCTTCCTTTCTTTGATTAAAAGCATGAAAAACATAGACTAAGTTACCTTGAATTAATATCAAATGTGGTCAAAAATATACAAAATTCATGCAGAATGGTTGAATGAGAAACATACTGGAGGAAAAAAGAGTTGAAATGAAACGTGTTTTAAAAATGCAAAGTTTAGGTAAGAGTTACTCTGCTAAACACATGTATTGTTAAAATCCATACAGGAAGGTCCAAATAGTTCTATCTAATCTTCACAGGGTCTGCGTTGCAAAGCTTTCACTGGCTTGAAAAGGCGGAGAGAAGGATGGAAACCTTGGCAGACTACCCTATAACTCATTGTATCTCCTGTCGGTGACCTAAAAGGTGATCGTCAAATATAAGGTGGCAGATGGCAGAAAGTGGCAAGATGGATTCCCTTTGTGTTATGGCTCTACTCAAGGGAAGTTTCTTCTTGTTTGTTTACGTTTTTGTTATTCCCTTCCTAAAAATGGACTCCCTAGCACTTGGGAGATGGAAGGGAATCAGCTGACCTTTGACCTTGTCCTTCATTAACAGCCACAAGACCCAGCATTACTGACTGGCATGTTTGAACTGCCAGGTTTTTAGCACTCCAGGACATTGGATAGCTGTTAATTCACTGTTCTCTCTCCATGAGATGCTTTGAGGAATGGGTGTGACAAAAATAGAATACATTGTCACCTTGTCCTATTAGGTGTTGTCTTTGGTATTCAGTTCCCAGACTTCCATGAGATGGGGGGGTGTGTCTGCAGGGTCGAGTTCTGTTTTTCTAATGACTTACATATAGCCTCAAGAATAATTTGAAACATATATCTCCCGTCAGGTTTACTTCTAGTGAAAACATGGCCCCAAGTCGGCCCCATCTGCTGGTTGCCCAACAATGCCAGAGGCTGAAGAAGTCACAGAGCGCTGAGAGCAATCTTCATTTGCGGTTGTGTCTAATGCTGCTGTTCAAACTTCTAAAAGAAACCAACAGCAGGAGTAAAAGGGGGAGGTTAATCCACAACGTCTCCATGATAAAGTGTCCATTACCTTTGTCAAAAATAAAAAATGTGACAAAAATCCATTACCCCTGCGTTCCCAGATTCATAACAAGAATAACACCTTATTAAAACATGACATTAACATGTATTAGAATGTATCTGACTTTTTCAGATAAATTTATTCAACTGAGAACAATTTTAATGAAGATGTAATTTCCTGTAAATAAACAAATCATCCCCCAAACTTGCATAATCTAAAAGTTCAATAACTGGAGAATTCCTATAGAGGTATAAAATTAATATTAAAAAGTAAAGCAGATAAAATACGTTCCAAATGACAAAAGAAAATGGCACTGAAGACCCGGGAGCTCTACTCTGTCAGAGTAAAGGTCTCCGGGAAGCGGAACATGATCCTGATACTTTAATCGACCACACCACTTATTAAACCGCTCATTAGGAAAGGAATTGCCAAGATATATCACCAGGGTGAGTGATGGCTCCAAGCCTTCAGACTGAAAATGGTGCTGCTTGCCACAGGTTAGACATTTGCTACTTCAAGCACAAACCTTTCACTTTCTGTCAGTTGAGACTGTGTCTAAAGCTGCTGCTCAAACTTCTCAAAGAAACCAACATCCCAGTCAAGGAGGGAGGATGGCATGTCTGCTACAACCATCGCCTTTTTCAAAAAAAAAAAAGTAATCCTACTACAGTGTGACAAAAATCCATTACTTTTGTGTTCCCAGATTCATAACAAGAATGATATATTATTAAAACATGATATTAACATGGAGCCAAATGTATCTGTGAAACTGGCCTCAAGAGCACGTAAAAAACTTTAAGTCATACTCCAACTCACATTGTTAAATTTAAAACGTCGACCGGTTAAGTGGAAATAGACGCCACTCTTCCCCACCTTCAACATGCTTTATACTGGCTCGGTGCAATCTGTACTCATAAGCAAACTACCACCCAGTGGAGAGAGCGAAGATCCTTCAGGAAGATTGGAGAAGCCAACCAGGTGGGGGTGCCCCTGTAGGTGGGTCTATGTGAAGTGAAGGAGCAAGGCCGGTTAGCGAGCCCAGTTTAGCTCAAAGCAAGACCGGTCATCAATTATTTATATCCAATGGGAAAGGAAATCTTTCCCAGGCACACTTGGCAGTGTGGCTTATGGGGGAAACCGGGCTAGGATATCCTTTTCAGACCAACACGCTGCTGTTCAAGCTTAGTGAAAATAAGGGGAAGAGAAGAGGTAAAACTGAAGAGAGAAGAGGAAGGAAGGGAAGTGTGTGTGTGTGTGGGGGGGGGGGGGGTAAACGTGTGTGGTGAGTGCGGAATGCACCTTTAAATGCTGTGGGAGCATCTGAATGTGAAGTGATCCTTACAGTATGGAAGCGCCAGTGTGTGAGAGGACCGGAGAGCTGAGAAGGAGTGTGCTCCTAACACGGAGGTTTATGAGGGTTTGCAAATGGTAACGGAACATGATGTGGGTGTGACGGAAAAGTGCATGGGAGGTGAAGCTCTGTATGAGAGTCTGGGAGGGGAGAGATAAGGGCTATGGTGTGGACCAGAGATTGGGGAAAGGGGAAAGCTGGAGAAAGGGGGGGGGGGTCAGAAATGACAGCGGAGGAACTAAGACCGAGTGTAAAACACTGAAAACAGAACAGAATGGGGATAAACGAGAGAGTGAAGGCAATGAGCAGTGAGTAAAGATGAGATAGAGAAATGGGAAAGGCAAAGAGGAAGGGGAGAAACAAGGAAGGAAAACCGTTAAAAGAAAAAAAAAGAGCGGAACGGGGCATATTTGGATCTTACTGTTCAAGTGAGAGGGAAAATAAATGGAGCATAGAGCCAGCAGTTGGGAAAAGTCGCTTACGGAGTGAAGCCAAAACAACCCCTGTAAACTTGTCAGACTCCAGGAGTATCCCTGGCAGCAGCACAGAGACCCAGATCCAAAGCGGCACCTGCCTCTCCTTCAAGCACCACACTCCTCACCCCGGACTGCCCAGAAAGTGTCTCCATTCCTCCCCAACCCGGCCAGACCCCTGCCCCGGGATCCAAGGAGCCCACGGAAGGGTCGTGCGTGGTAGCCAGAGAGGTGGTGTTTTGCTAGTGTGCAACAGCAGGATTCACGCTAGGCGTGAAACAAGGCGGAGAGAGGGAAGGGGGACAGAAAGATAGACTGAGGCAAGTGTGGAGAGGGCGCACGGTCCCTACCTGAGCACCGCCGTGTCACCTTTCCTCACCAACATGTTGTCCACGGCCGCCCAGGGGAAGTCCACGCTCTGCCCAACCGGGAGGCAAGAGCACAGGCTCAGAAGCACCGCCGCCAGCCACTGGTTCGAGCAACAAGCGCCCTGCGCCAGGAGCACCATGTCCGTGCCTGCCAGGCTGCTCGCTCTCCGGCAGCGTCGGCTCCCACCCCCTGCTGCTGGCGAGGCTGCCCGGTAACCAGGCGGCGCGCCACACGAGATTTTTTTTTCCTCTTTTCCTCTTTCTGAGTGGATGGGTGGGTTTCTTCTCTTTCTCGCCCCCTCCCTAGTTGTCGGGCGTAGTTTCCCTCTTTCCCCGGCCTCGCCTCCTTTCTGCTCGTCTGCAGCTCGCCTTCCCTCCCTCCCCTCCCGCCCCCTGGCACCGCGCTCCACCTCCTCCGGGGCGCCCGGCCGCGTCCGGAGCGTGGCTAATCCCCGGCGGCCGCACACTGTCCTGCGAGGCGACGAGCAGAGCGCGGGAGGCGGTGCAGGCAGCGCGGGGCGCAGCAGCGGCCGGCGGCCCCCGGGCTCGCGCGCGTTGCCAAGCGGCCGTTTCCGTAGCAACCCCGCCCGGGGATGGAGGACCAGGCAGGGAGGGGGGCCGGGAAGCAAAAGAGATAGATCAAAAAGAGGGAAAGAGGGGGACAGGGAAGCTAGGGGCGACGGGGGCTAAGCCGAGGTCTGGTCCGGCTTGGCAGCACCAGCGAGAGAGCTGTGCGTGCTGCTTGGCTGGGAAGTCAGGGCAAGGGGGCCTGGCCTGCCCTCTGGTGCATTCAGCTCCCGGGCCTCCCAGGGCCCCCGACTTTAAAGTGCTCAAGTTGGGGTCGGCGCCATCATGACGCCCGAGACTGTGAGTGAGTTGGCTTTTTGTTGTTGTTATTGTATGTGTGTTTTTTTAAATCCTGACTAGCTAATTGCGCTGTTAATAAACTGCGTGCTAGTACTGTTCTCTCTCTCTCTTTCTCTCTCTCTCTCTCTCTCTCTCTCTCTCTCCTCTCTCTTCTCTTCTCTCCCCCTTCTTCCTTCCCTCCCTCGCTCCTCGTCTTTCTCCGTGCGTCTCTCTTCCTCCCCTCTGTTATTTTTCTTTAGGGGCTGGTCTTTTCACCCTCCTTTGGAGGTGGGCAGGGACAGTGGCGGCGCTGCTGCTTTGCGGGAACAGTAGAGCTATCTGGGCCTGATGGCTGAGAGCTAGCGCGTCTGTGGGTCGCCTTTGCGGACTGGAAGACGCCAGCCCTTCTCTGTGCGTCTTGGTACTAACTTGTGCGTGAGTGTGTGTGCGCGTGTGCTGTCAGCACAGAGTGTGCGCGTGTCAGAGGGAGATGGAGTGTGCAGGGCGCGTGCAAGACCAGGGCGCGCGCAGCACGCAGGCGCGCTGGGAGGGATGGGCGGGCCTTGCTAGGATGCGGAGTTAGAGGAGGCTGCAATCAAGTGTTTTAATTGTGTGGAGCTAGGCGGTCCTGTTATGTAAGAGGCAGTTTAACCCATTTGAGCCTATTGGGTGGAAGGCTCGTACATTCGGATGGAGTCAAGACATTCCTCGGCTTTAAGGATTCCCAGTTGTATTTTCCTCACAACCTCCCAGCTGGAGTGGACCCGCATCCTTTGAGAGGCGACCTCAGCTCCCCAAGCCGCAGCCCCGCATCTGCTAGCCCATGCCCAGGTCAGGGTAGAGCAGGGTCCGTGGCATGAGTCACCCCACAGTCCACTCATTTTGTTTATTTTTAATTTTCTTCCCTCCTGGCACTCATTTTCAGCCTCCTAGAGCTCTTCCGGTCGACTTGCAAATCAATGAGAGAATCTGAGCCCAGAGCAGTGGTTCCAGTCTCCGTGACGAGTTTAGGATGGAAGTTGGGAGGGGGAATGGGTAGATAGAAACAACTGACCCTCTCCACCTGGCTTCCCCCGCCCTCCGCCTGTAATGGTATTTTAAAGATAAATAAATAAATAATAATAACAACAATAATAATAAAAACCACATCCGTCTTTCACTGCTGTTCATTTGAACTCCTTTTTTTTCTGAACGCCAGCAGGGCCCTGCGCAGAGCGCGCCAAAGCAATGATCTCTGCAGGGGTCAGCATCCGGCTTCCTCCCCAAGCTGAGCTCTTGACGAGGCAGGGAGGGAGTCGTAGTTGTCGTTGGTACCCAGGGCGGCTTTTTAATTTTTATTTTTATTTATCACCATGTCTAAGGATAGACGGGATAGGGGTAGCCATTCCCACCGCCCGAGACCACCCAGACTGACTTATCCCTAAGCAACATCACCTCCCTGCGGAAGATTCCCTGCGAGGCTCAGCAATTAACTGCCGGGTTTGCAGCGGGAACTATTGAGGTGATTAGTATTCAGGCTTAATTCTCAGAACCCGCTCGGGAATTCAAAGTGCTGTAGTATTCAGCCGCATTTCGAAACATCAATAAAATGTTAGTCATTTGCGGATGAATGAAAACATTTTTCTTTACCGTCTGCTGTGCTAGAGAAATAATTGTCAAATGGCAGCCTCTCGCTAATACTGATGCCAGACACCTAGAGAACGTTCTCCTCTTGTTGACTTCATTTAACATTCTTGGCGGTGCACTCCAGATAAAGCCTAAAATTATCGAGAACAAACGAGGTATTAGAAGACCTGACTTCCCACTACGTGGCCAGCCAGGTCCATGCGGTATTATTTCGGTATCGATAAACTAGACGCCAATGAAAAGAGGCAGAAAGATCAGCTTGTGGCGTTGAGCCAAAGTTTAACGATATTGTATGCAAGAACAGGAGAGCCAGCGCCTTCGTGTACAAACCACTGAAAAGCATCTTTTCCTAACTGCCTTCCCCAGAGACTGACATCCTCGGTGCTCGCGGGTGGGGGCGTGGGAGGGGGGATTTCTGTGGCCAAGGACTGAGCTCTGCAGCAATTTTACTATGTACAACAACCCTGCAGGCTTGTAAACCCAAACTGGAGCCACTTCTACTTAAAGGCAAGGAGTCTCTTTTCCGTGTTTCTGGTTCCTATCTCAGCTTCTATTCGATGATCAAAAAATATTTAACACTTAGAGAGCCAATCCAAATAAAAGCAAAAAGGACCCCTGTGTGATACGTGCGGGGATTTAGAGTTACTTATAGGTCTGTCCCAGTTAAGGAGCACTAGAGTGCACCTCAGGCAGCTGCTCTTGCCCCCTGCACTTCCGCCGTCCTCAACTAGAGGGGGAATTAACTTTAACAGGTTATTATGATGGGCTTTCCCCTTGCCCCTTCTGAGAGTTCATATCCAAGTGAATTTTACATGGTTTCCAGCATTTGCTTCCAAGGTCCCAGAATTCCTCTCAGCAGAGATATAAATCCTGGAATTCTTGGCATATTTGAGGGAATTCTGGAGCAAAACCAAATAATAAAATGAGGACGGTAGGCAATCCTACTGGTAGAATAAATAGAAAGTCACACTGTCTTAAACATTTTCGAGGGTGAAGACCCTATGGTTGTAGTGGCACACAGGCTTGGTCAGAAGTCAAAGAAAGTGACAGAAATTGTAACTTACTTTGTAACCCTGTGCTTTGCTATTTCTAAATCTCAAGTTTAGAAGGTTCATCATGACCAATATGGAGTTGATTTGGAACAGAAGTGGAGTCAGAAAGCGATGACAAATAATTTTCCATTGACTTATACTTTTCTCCCCTAGTGCCTTCTGACCTAAGTTTTAAAACACAAAATTGTATTGGAAAAGAGGCTGTTTGGAGTTTCCCTCTAGAATTCAGTGTTGCCAATGAGATTGCTACTATGAGAATATAGGACAGAAACTCACCGTTTTATTTGCTTTTGCCTGTGATGAGTGAAGCCAACTTCAGCTTCTACCTCATTACTCCCTGGGCATAAAAATGTTTAGGCAGGACAGGACCTAGGATCCAATTGAAAGAAGTGAAAATAAAAACACCTTTGTAATTCCCGCAGGAGTCAATCAGAGCACTGTCTGTCCAGGAAATAGGCTAACAGCTCTCTAACTTGCCTAGTGATTCTTTTTGAGTTAAACCAATTTAAGTCTGGAGCGTTTTCAAGTCATTGTGAAACATTAAAAAAGTAAAAATAAATAAATCTTTAGGGAATTTTTTAAAGAGATGCTCAGCATAGCTCCTAATATTTTTGTTTGTTTGTTTTTATTTTTATTTGTTTATTAAAAAGAAAACAAACTATCTTTTTTCATTTTACTTACCAATCCCAGTTCTCACTCCCTTCCCTCCTCCCATTCTCTTCACCTAACCCCACTCCTAACCCCATCCACTCCTCAGAGAGGGTAAGGCACATTGCTTTGGGGATGGTCCAAGGCCCTTCCTACTATATCTAAGCTGAGCAAGGTATCTATCCAAAGAGAAGAGGTTCCAAAAAAGCCAGTACAAGCAGTAGGGGTAAATCCTGGTGCCACTGCCAGTAGCCCCTAAAGCTGCCCCACCCATGCAACTGTCACCTACATTCAGAGGGACTAGTTCGGACCTATGCTGTTTCCTTTTCAGTCTGACTGGAGTTGGTGAGCTCCCATTAGCTCAGGTAGACTGTTTCAGTGGGTGTCCCAATCATGGGCTTGACCTCTTTGCTCTTATGCTCACTCCTCCCACTCTTCAGCTGGATTTTGGGAGCTCAGTCCAGTGCTCCAATGCAAGTCTCTGCCTCTGTTTCCATCAGTTGCTGGATAAAGGTTCTATGGTAATATTTAAGGTATTCATCAATCTGACTAAAGGGCAAGGCCAGTTTGGGCACCATCTTTTCCATTGTTTAGGGTCTTAGTAGGGTCATCCTTGTGGATTCCTGGGAATTTCTCTAGTGTCAGGCTTCTTGCTAGCCCCATAATGGCTCCCTCAATCAAAATATCTCCTTCCTTGCTCTCAACTCTGTCCTTTCTCCATCTCAATTATCCCATTCCCTCATGTTATCCTCCCCTCTCCACTTCTCCCCTCATCTTCCCCTTCCACTTTCTCTACTCTCCCCATCCCCAGGCTCCCAATTTTGTCAGATGATCTTGTCTGTTTTCCCTTTACAGGTGGATCTTTGTATGTTTTTCTTAGGGTTCATCTTGTTACTTAGCCTCTCTAGGATCATGAACTATAGGCTCAATCCTTTGCTCTACAGCTAGTATCCATTTATGAGTGAGTGTTTGTTTATTTTTCAAGACAAGGTTTTTCTTTGTAGCATTGGAGCCTGTCCTGAAACTAGCTCTTGTACACCAAGCTGTCCTCGAACTCACAGAGATTTGTCTGCCTCTGCCTCCTGAGTGCTGGGAATAAAAGCATGCACCACCACTGTCCGGTGACTCTTAGCATTTTGAAATCAGGTAACTGGGATTGCCCTGGCAGATACTCAACAGCACCCCAGCCTCAGCAGGTAGTAGTTGACAGCATCAGGAGAGGACCAGTGTGCTATCATTCCCTGACATTACTAAATATTCTGCTATACAGGACCAAGTCATTCCCAGGTAAGAACTGACCCTTAGGGTAGGTGTCATTAGCATGAACACCTGTCTACATTCCTCCTCCTCCTCACCTATATTAAGGAGGCAGAGCTGTGGTCAACACCCCATACTGCTTTGAAGTCTACAAAATAGAAGTGGCAGGGCTGGAGAGATGGCTTGGTGGTTAAGAGCTTTGTCTGCTCTTCCAAAGGTCCTGAGTTCAATTCCCAGCAAC